CGTACTGCGCCAAGATCCTTGGAAGAAAAGTACAATAAAAACAGGATGACTGCACATTCTGCTTTTTCCATGACTTCGGCAACTGCTTCGCATGGCACTTCCTGCATCCTCTTCCCCCTCCCCTTACCACCTATATATCGCTGGCCAATTTCTTCATACCCTCCAAGCATCTGATGAAGAGAGCTGTGTTTCTCGAAAGCCTATACTACAATAAAGTTTGCTAGTCTTAAAGGCGCTACTGGGCTTTTTACTATTTTGCAGCAACAAACTAATCAGGATGATAGAGGAGTCTGACATTGGTTCCTTAGTCATAAACTCCCAAAGTGTCTGATGGGAGCCAAGCCTTCTAAATCTAGCTGGAGATGTATCGCTTGTGGTGACCCAAAGGTTATCTGGCATGCAGAGCTGTTTAAATATTGTCAACATGTGTGGCTGGGTTCGAGTATAAAGAGCTAGGAATTGCACATAAGGAACTGTGAACCAACTTCAGCCTCACAACAGAGCCCCAGCGAAGAAACATAAAAGTACATTCCTTGCAAAATATTTATTTCACCCCATGTAATATCACTGAGGGGGGAGGGGACGGTCAAAACAGTAAGAAGATCGGGATTAATCAGGAACGTTTCATCAACGACCACCACTCCCCAAACTATCCCTAGAGCGGTCGGATATACTCTACAGCCACAGAACAAAATTTAAGGCCAGTGGCGTCTTAAAGACCGACAACATTTTCCAGGCCGTACACGTTGGTGAGTCAAGGCTCACTTAACCAGACACCAGTGACGCTGCCTTGTCATTTGCATCTGACTCATGAAAAACAATTTTGTTGGTCTTTCGGACACGCTGCAGGCCTTGAATTCTGTCCTACCCATAAGAGCAAAAAAACAAACAAAACCCATACGCTTCCTGCTACGGGGCTCCCATTTCGCTCCTCTGGTCCTTACTGGGGATAATTTTGCCAATGGCTTCAGGGAATTGTAGTGAGCCCTCCTTCAGAGAAGCAGGCGGGGCGGGGGTGGGAGGATTGTGCATGGTGCATTTTTAGGCAGGGGCGTCCTTTGCCATCTTCACCCAACTACAGACTAGCCACCTCAGATCTCCTCCTCAAGCACTCGCATTCACCTCATCCTCCCCACCCCACCCAATGGGTGTCAGTCTATGGGTGGTTCTGGGTGCGGGTGTAGATTTAAGCATGGGAAATTTTCTGCTTTCGACAGAGCAACCCCCTCAGTCCCCAAAGCCCTTCATGCCTAGTGGGAGTTACTCAGGGATGCGAGTCTCCAAGGTGTGACCTGGGCATCCCGGCTCATCTCCAGACTACACACATCAGTTCCCCTGGAGAAAATGGATGCTTTGGAGCAGTGCTCCCTCTAAGCCGTGGAGTCTCGTGAGCAAGAATTCTAATTTTTGAGCTACTGGCGTTGAAGTTGTGAGTGAGAGATTCGGCTACTGCATGAATTAGTTTGCTCTGGAGCCGTCCCTTCCCGAGCTGAGACAAAAATGTGTGAGCCGGAGGCTAATAAACTGTGAGTTAGCTCACACTAACTCAGCTTAGAGGGAACACTGCTTTGGAGGCGGGGACGCCAGCCTCCAGGTGGGACCTGGGGAATCCCCCGGAATTACAGCTCATCTCCAAGCTACAGAGATCCCTACTTCTTCACCCAAAGAGTGATGAACACCTGGAATTCACTGCCACAGGAGGTGGTGGCGGCTACAAGCATGGACGGCTTCAAGAGGGAATTGGATGAACATCTGGTGCAGAGGTCCATCAGTGGCTATTAGCCACAAGGTATAAATAGGGGCTCTGGGGCAAGTGATGCTCTGTCATCTTGGTGCTGGGGGGGGGGTCAACAGTGGGAGGGCTTCTAGTGTCCTGGCCCCACTGCTGGACCTCCTGATGGCACCTGGTATTTCTGGCCACTGTATGACACATAGGGTGCGTTCAGACGGGGCGTTTCAGCTGGCATAAACTGTACCGGTTGGAACCGGTGCAGTTTATGCTGGCTGAAACGCGATCACACTTACCTCCTGTCTGCGCAGCCCATCGCAATACACCCGTCCACACTCGTCGTCGGCTTGGTTTTTTTAACTTAGTTTGCGCATGCGCATAGGCAGCCATCCATAGAATGGTGATCTTCGTGCATGGGCAAAAAAACCTGTCTTACATTTAAACTTTAAAGGTAAGGACTTACCTTTAAAGTTTAAAGAGCACAGTAGCCTCCCTGAGGTCCCGGACGCCTCCGAAACGCTACAGTAAGGCCTTTTTCTTTTTTTAAAAAACAAACGGCAGGGCGAAGCTTTGCCCAAGCGCATATTGCCGTCCTTTAAAAAAAATGGTGGGCGAAAATCGGAAGCCTCAGGCTTCTGAATGGAAATAGCTGTGCAATGTTGGAGAGCGATCAGACGGCGGGGTACAGTGTTTACAACCGTTGTACTCAGGATACACCCACTTGGGGACCTAGTGGCAGAGTACAACAGTTTAAAGGGCTTTACAATGGTTAGGGACGGGAGGCAGATGTTTGCCGTGTGAACGCCGGTAAGTACACCGGTTGGAACCGGCACCTATACCGTTGTAAATCCCCTGTCTGAACACACCCAGAGTGTTGGACTGGATGGGCCTTTGGCCTGATCCAACATTGGCGTCTCTTATGTTCTTAGTTCCCCAGGAGAAAACGGATGCTTTGGAGGGGGGACTCTGTGGCCTTCTACCCCACTAAGGTCCTTACTCTCCCCAAGCCCCGCCCCCAAATCTCCAGGAGCTTGCCAATCTGGAGGTGGGAACCCCACCCCCTATCCCATGCCATTGGTGAGGGGACACCTGGCAAACCTAGACTGTCACTAGGCTGGAGGGGGGAGGTAACTGGATAACGGGAGAGGTCTTTTCCCAGGGACAATGAGATGGGGAAGCAACATTATGGTTTTCACAGGACGTTCTCTGCTTCCTATAGAGCAGCCACCTCAGTCCCTAACATTGCAATCCAGTGTGGAGTGACTCCAGTCTAAACCCAGTGAAAAGCAGCTGGAATAACTTTGCACAGGATGCTGCTACAAAGCCCTTTGCGCCTCCTGGGTATTACCTACAGGCTGGAGAGATAACGAGGTGACAGGGAAGGGATCTTTTCCCAGAGATGCCTAGATGGGGAAGAGAATCTTTTCCGGCACGAGACATCTTTTTGCAGAGTTGTACCCACATGGCTCCGCCCTCCATGCCAGGGATGCCAGCCTCCAGGTGGGACCTGGGGGATCCCCCGGAATCACAGCTCACCTGCAGACGGTAGAGATCAGTTCCCCTGGAGAAAACAGATGCTTTGGAGCTAGGGAGCTTTTTTCAGAGATGTCAAGATGGAAAAGAGAATACTTTTGGGCACGAGACAACCCTTGCACAGTTGTACCCACATGGCGCCACCCACCATGCTAGGGATGCCAGCCTCCAGGCAGGGCCTGGAGATCCCCCAGAATTACATTCACCTGCAGACTACAGAGATCAATTCCCCGGAGAAAAATGGATGCTTTGGAGACAGGGACGCCAGCCTCCAGGTGGAACCTGGAGATCCCCCAGAATTACATTCACCTGCAGACTACAGAGATCAATTCCCTGGAGGAAAATGGATGCTTTGGAGGCAGGGATGCCAGCCTACAGGTGGGACCTGCGTATCCCCCGGAATCACAGCCCACCTCCAGATGACAGAGATCAGTTCCCCCAGAGAAAAATGGCTGCTTTGGAGGTAGGGACGCCAGCCTACAGGTGGGACCTGGGGGTCCCCGGGAATCACATCCCACCTCCAGACATCAGTTCCCCCAGAGAAAAATTCCCCCCACATAGATCCCAAAGAGCACTTCGGTCGGGGTCGCTACATCGCCTTGCGATCCCGGGCCCGAGAGAGGCCAGGCTTGCGGCCACTAGGGCCAGGTCCTTCTCGGTGGCGGCTCCTATCTGGTGGAATGAGCTCCCGGAAGAGATCAGGGCCCTGCGGGACCTGATGCAGTTCCGTAGGGCCTGTAAGACGGAGCTCTTCCGCCAGGCTTTTGAATAGGAGCCGCCGCCGCCACTACTACCATCAACGAGGACCATTTCTACAGCACCACCGGAGGTCAAGTGGCTAATAATATCAGGGGGCCACAGCAACCTCCCCCTGAATGGATAGGGTTGTGCAATACTGGAGAAAGGGTTGTTAGTCACGCGGGATCCTTGGGTGTCCCCATGTATAAATTGTTTTATATTATGCTTTTATTGTATTTTATTGCACATTTGTGCCTTATGGTTGTAAGCCGCCCTGAGCCCGCATGCGGGGAGGGCGGGGTATAAATGAAATAAAATAAAATAAATAAATAAATCCTGGTGGCTCCTCCAGCACACCTTAATTTACAGATTTCATTTTCTTTTATATTTTTCAAAAGCCGAAGATTGCAAATCCTGTTCTAGAGTAAGGAACTGGTGAGGGGGGAAATGGCCTGTTTGTGTGCCTGTATCCAGATTTGCACCAGGTGAAGCATTTCCGGCGTAGAATGTGCTCACCTGTGAATAACCGCTATTAAGGTCACAGCTACATGGGCTTGATAGGAAAATTAGGTCTCCTAAAGCGATCCCTGATTGGAAACATGCTTACTTCAAGCTATAAATATCTTCAGCAGTGGGGCTTCAATCTGTTGCCTTATACCAGCTTCTAGATTTTTCTAAATGTCTATTTGAAACAGCTAGTCTTTTTTGGGTTGTTGGTTTAATCCGTAGATGGAATTGGGTTTGCCCCCCTAATGTGTTTCATGGATTGAAGCAACGGATTATAGGGCAGCCCGGAAACATAAAACAGGGTTATCTTTCAGCATTAAGCTGGTGGCTTGAACATCATTAGAATTAGTTCGCAGCAATCCGGGTGTGGAGCTGCCCAGCCAATATCTGTGTGCCATCCATTACATTGGCCAGCCTATTTGAGAACGTGGGAACGCGCCCCCCCCAAAAAAAAAACCCCCCAACCCATCCCCTCCAGCCGAGCCCGACTCACAGAACTCGGCGATGTAGTGGGAGACGACGTAGTTCTCCTCGCACCAGTCGAGGGTGGAGGTCGGCGGGCCCCAGTAGCCGGCCCGGTCGCCGGCGGGAGCCATGGGGGGTGCTGCGCAGCGGCCGGGGTCGGCTGACTGGACGGACGGACGGACGGACTGCCGGGCGACGGGGGGAGGCAGGAAAAGGGGAAGCGCTTCCCACGGCGGCGCCGCTGCTCCCGGATGGCCCTCCCTCCGCCGCGCTGGCGCCTCCTCCCCCGCCGGCTCGGGGCGGAGCGGCCCGCCCACCAGGCCGCGCAGGTCGCGGCCTAGGCCGCGCCGTCGCCATGGAGACCGCCGCGGCGGCCTAGCCCAGCCGCCCGAGGGGAGGGGGGGCTGGAGGGAGGGAGGGGGAAAGGCGCGCGTCTTTCTCGCTCTCCCTCTCTCCCCCCCCCTCCCCGCCGCCGGAATGGTTCCTTCCCCTTTGTCCGGGCTTGGGGTTTGTTCCCCCATCTCCTCCCTCCCTCCCGGCCGCGTTCTGTCTTGGGAACAACAGCCCTGCCAGGTGGGCTCCTCCTCAAAATCCGTCACAGAAGCAGCCTGCCGGCCGGGCCGTACCCCCTGATTTGGGGGGTGGGGTGGGGAGCTAGGGTTGACGACTGCGGGCTGGGGGAGTCCGGGGAGATTTGGGGTGAAGGAGGGGTGCCGGGCCCCAGGCGGGACCCGGGGGACCCCCCTTTCCCCACGGAATTAGAGCTGGTCTCCAGACTGCAGTGCAGAGAGGAGAAGAAGAGGAGATTGGATTTCTACCCCGCCCTTCACTACCCAAAGGAGTCTCAGAGCGGCTTACAACCTCCTTTCCCTTCCCCTCCCCACAACAGGCACCCTCTGAGGTAAAAGGAGAAGAAGAAGAGATGGGATTTATACCCCGCCCTTCACTACCCAAAGGAGTCTCAGAGCGGCTTACAACCTCCTTTCCCTTCCCCTCCCCACAACAGACACCCTCTGAGGTAAAAGGAGAAGAAGAGGAGATTGGATTTATACCCCGCCCTTCACTACCCAAAGGAGTCTCAGAGCGGCTTACAACCTCCTTTCCCTTCCCCTCCCCACCACAGACACCCTCTGAGGTAAAAGGAGAAGAAGAGGAGATGGGATTTATACCCCGCCCTTCACTATCCAAGGGAGTCTCAGAGCGGCTTACAACCTCCTTTCCCTCCCCCGCCCCACCACAGACACCCTCTGAGGTAAAAGGAGAAGAAAAAGAGATTGTATTTCTACCCCGCCCTTCACTACCCGAAGGAGTCTCAGAGCGGCCTACAAACTCCTCTCCCTCCCCCTCCCCACAACAGACACCCTGTGAGGTAAAAGAAGAAGAAGAAGAGATTGGATTTATACCCCGCCCTTCACTACCCAAGGGAGTCTCAGAGCGCTTACAAACTCCTTTCCCTTCCCCTCCCCACAACAGACACCCTGGGAGGTAGGTGGGGCTGAGAGAGCTCTTGACAGAAACCGC